GGAGGTCGCGCGTGCTTTCCAATGAGATTGACTGACCATTTTGGGAATGTGGGCATTCCCGGCAGTACATCCTTGAAACTCGTTGATGAATGCTCACCCGTCTACAACCGAAACTCATCTGTCCGGTCTGTTTTTGGCTTATTATTCGTCGTCAGTCCGTCATGCCCACTCTGGCCATTCCAGTCTCTCTTGTCTTTGCCAGCAATACTATCTTCCTATACTACCAGCTGCTACAGCTGTCAGGGCCTCTGTCGAGACCGCAGGCAGAGCAGAACAGATGAGTTCCGTTAGCGATCGGGTGAACGTTCATCAACGAGTGTCAATGTCCCTCGACCTAACCCGGCAAGACAGCGAGCTCGTGGCTCAGTGGTTAGGACGTTTGACTCTGATCAAAGGCTCGCGAGTTCGAGGCACTAGGTTTGACACCACTTGAGTCTAAGTACGAGTGCCCAAATTGGCCGATATATTCCACGAAATTGCGTTGATAGAAGAGATTTACAGGATATCTTCCAGATTGACCCTCGGGAACGAGGAGTGTGTGCCAACAAAGATGCGCGAATGATGGTAATTCAGTAAATCCAATACCTGAGCGCCTGACCAACAATAGAATACGGGACTTCCGCGCTACTGACCCAGATCGGAATTCCTGATCTTTCACGATTTCGGGTTCAGCACAGAGGTGAATCATAGCAGGAAAAGAAACACAATCCCACTGAAACCTTCCGTACCGAATCTGATGACATGCATGTGGTCCGTTCTGCCCTAAATAAGGACGCTACTTTCTCCACCGAATATTGGCAAATCTTGACCTGCGTTCTTTGGAGGAAATGTTTCTTACAGACTGGCTTTTAAGTACACAAACCTTCCAGCCGCACCAGCGTCGATAAAAAAAGTATGAGAAAATTCCCGTAGGAATGCAGCTGTTCTTGCCTCTCACAAATTGACCAAAGTTCAGAGCACAGTTGACTAAACAGGAAATCCTCGACAGGAGGCTTTATAAAGATTATGCCAGAGCCGTCTTTCTTGTACTCAGCGAAGTTCTGAAAATACAGTAGTCGCCGGCTATTAAGCCCACCTCGGGCCCAGACCAAATTG